CCCACCCTTCTGCTCTGTGATTGTCTGTCCCCACATCTGTGGAATATCTTTAGCTGTGGGCAGAGGTGGAAATGTTGCATCATGGCACTAAAACAAGGTCGAGCCTGTGCCTAGGCTTGGGCTAGGAGCCAGCCCCAGTGGATGCAGCTCTAGTTGGGAACTGGGCATGGAAAGGGAAGAAATGCTGACTGCAGAGCTGGCCATGTCCTTTCCCTGGGCACTGCAGGCCCCAGGAACCAAGTCCTGCTGGTGCCTTTCAGGCTGCTCCTTGTTTGCACAACAAATTGCACAGCTCATCTCCACTAGAGTTTCTGGGAACATCCCTGGTACAAATTATTGTGAAGGTTCTGTAGTAAAGGAGAATGTGCTGCAAAAAGATCAGATTGATCTGAACACTGAAAAAGATCAGTGTTTTGTTTGAAGTGGAGCATGCTCTGCCAGTGTTTCTGTCTCATATTCCAATACAGCCTCCAGTGATCCTATTAACTGGAAGAGTACTTCTCTTTTTTTTGATATTCTATTTAAAAGCCTGGTCCATTAAGTGCATTTTTTTTGATGGAGAGTTAAAGCCTTCCACCAAGACCAGTGGATTGGAAATGAAACTACATTGTGATTTTTTTTTTCTCTTTGTTTTTTAAAGTGAAAAAGGAGAAAGAGTGAAAGACAAGCCTGTTCAAGTATTGGCATTCATTTTCTCTGAGTTACTCTGAGATGTTACAGTGTCCAGGATCATGTTTTTGAAAATATGGGGAGTAGTAATTCACCATTTAAATTCTGTAGTATCAGTCTGAAGAGGATTTTCCCCTTGAATACCTACAGCACACAGTATGTACTGCTAGCAGGGACTGCTGTGATTTCCCAGTCTTTTCAATAACCTTTTGAGATTTATAATGACTGCCAAGGCATTAAGGTGACAATCTCCCAGAACACCTTTAAGGGGCAATGAGTACCAGTGTGACTGACTGTGCAGAGATGAAACAGTGTTAGCCAGCATCACACATGTCAGAGCTGGGTAGCTCCATGTCTAGAAAATGCTCAGGCAGGACTGAATGAGAGATGAGCAGCCTCTTGCTGAAATTAAAAAAATCCCAAAGCAGTCCTTAGTTTAATTACTTTCTTTAATAAATTGTGTTGGGGGAGCATTGATCATTAACTGATGAATAACTAATAGTAACTAATGATGCATTCAGTGGGGCTTCAGTTCCCAGGATGTCCTCTCAGGATAACATCTGGGGTGGGAATAGAGCTCGTGTGAGCCCCGAGAGCCTGGCTCAGCACAAGCAGCTCACAGTGCTGTAGGAGCAGGAGGGATTCTCCAGCATCCAGCCTGACCCAGGTTCTGTGATCCCATAGCTGTCCATTACTACTGGGGCTATTTAAAATTACCTTGATTGTGCCTTTTGCATTAGGTGTTTTTCACCACCAGGTCCTTGCAGTTGTCCTGGTGGAATAAGCTCTGGAGTATTTCCACTTTCTGCCACAGGTCCAACCACAGCACAAGTGCAGTAGGTGACCTGCTAGAATATGGTCCCCATGGGCAGCACTGTATCACCTTACAGCTCTGCTTGAGCCTGTTCTTGAAATCCAGTTTGAAACCTTGGGAGAAGTAAATTCTCCCTGATTGGAATATTGGATTAAATGGCATTTTCTCATCAGCATCCACCTGGGCTCCACTGCACAAGTACTTTAGGGGCACTGTCACTACCCAGAATATTCACGTGTTCAGCCTTTAATCTCTGAACTCTCTGTATACAATGGAGCTTTTCAGAATGGCAAAGCCAAGCTTAATTATGCAGTGAGACATGCTGGATGTGCTGGTCAGGTCTTGTTCCTTGGGGTCGTGCAGTTTGAAAGTACAGCTGTAGGCAGTTTGCAAAAATTGCTTCTCTTTTCCTGCTAAGATACTGTCACATCAGCCACGAGCATTTGCTGCCATAATTTATTGTTTCTTCCCATACTGAGTCAGAAGGGTATTCATTTTTTTCTTCTTGGCTAAATTAAACAAATCAGTCATTTCACAAAAGTTTCCAAATGAAAGATTGTTGTAAGCAAGACCAGATATGTTCTTTTACAGATCTGGGGTTCAAAAAGAAGGAAAAAAAAAAGAAAAAAAAGAACAAGGAAGCTTGAAAAACAGCTTACAGTTTGCTTTGGGCTAATTAGATCTTATCAGTGAAAAGACAGATACTTCTTTCTTTAGCATGATGCCATGGTGAAAGTTGACCTGGTGTTTATGAAAGCATATTGCACACTACTTTTCAGCTAGAGCTATGGGGTTTAAATGAGTGATCCTCATAAAAAGCCTGATGTGAAGGTGTGTGGAGCACTGGCTTTCAGAGCACACATGTGTGTGCTATTAAGGTCCCGGGAAGGGAGCAATTACAGGACCTTTGTCATTCATCTCAGATGCTGTGTTAGAATGTTTTTAATAGGAACTTCTCTTGCTTTCTTTCTGACTTTCATAGAGGCAAGAAATAAGACCCCCGAGGGGAAAAACACTCTACCCTAACGCCTCGAATGCTTGAACTCTGAAGTCAGTAAAGCATGACTCTATCTCTCAATATTGGAGCTTTAGCCATGGTGTTATCCTTGGCTTCAGCAGCTTCCAGCAAACTGGGGACAGACCAGTATCTTTAAACATCAGATGACTGCAGACTGATGAATAAAGAGAAAACCCCATCTTGCCTGCAGCTTGCTTATGACAGTCATGTAGAACTGGATCTCCCTCTGACAGATCAGCCCTCTCTGTACTGGAGTGTGTTGAGGATTGGCTGGAGGGATGCTGTGACCTGCTTCTGCTGGGAAAAATCTCTTACCAACAAAAATATTTACATCTATCCCTTGGAGGTTAGAAAAGTGACATTTCTGAAGGTGTTCTGGGGTCTGAAATGTATCCCAGCCCCCCAGGAGCCCTCAGCAATGATCCATTATCCCATTCAGTCCTGGACCTGTGTCTGTGCTGGTGAATCTGTACTTTTTCTGCCCCCATTAAGCCTCAACAGAGGGATTCTTTGGACTCTCTGCTGTGATGCCCAACAGCAGCCCTGCCCTGGTTTATGTCACATTCCCCTCTCTTTCTCTGCTATCTTTTGTAGACCAGGAGTTGATGAAGGCCCTGACAGATCTCAGCACTTTCTGTAAATTTGTTCTATTTTAATACCTAATATTCTCCTGGGGCATTTGCTTTCAAAGCAATTAGACATCTGTCAGCACCTTTGCTAGATTTCAAGCTTTCATATCAGTATCCTAAGGTGGAAATAGCATTCCAGTTGAAAAATCATAGCTTGCTCTTAAGGTTAGAGTTTTTCGGTGAGTAAATCTTCTTTAAGCTGTTGAATGCAGCTGCTGCCTTGACAATTTGTGAGTTTATTTCCTTCTGGATATCCCCACTGGCTTGCATGTTACTGCCAAAGAATGTGAATGCAGGCATTTTTGTCCTGCTTTTGCCTTCCTAAGCAGTGTTTGAACTGAGAGTTACAGGGGCTCTCGTTAGCTTCACTTTTTGTAGCTGTTCATTAACCACCTCTATTTTACAGTGCTGAGCAACCCTTTGATCATTGCATGGGGGTGGATTTCCAGTTACAGTGCTTGTGTTGTCAGTTTAGGGCATTATGGTTAAATTCTGTGCATTTTGCACGTGCATTTTAGTGATAGTGACACCACTGGCAGTGCCTGGTGGAAGGGAAAATCCACTTCTTCCTTTGGCATCAGCATCTTTTTGCTGAATCCAGCCCTGAAAATTGTTCTGTGGATATGGTTCCTTGCTCCACAAACATTTGGGAACAGAGAGTCCATAGCAGTGCATTTAGCTGTCCAGAGAAGGAGTGAAGGTATTTATGGGAATTTGCTGTGCAGTTGGAGTTTGATTTTTATGCCCTTTTTAATGATGTCCTCTTCTCATAGTGCAGCACGAGTAACAATTCCCCCTTTGTATGTATTTTGTATCTATTCCTATTTCCTATTGAAATTCCTAGGAAAGAAACTATCCAAGTACCGAGTTGAAAATTTCGTCTTAAAATAAGCCAGATGTCCAACCTTCCTTTAGCTGCCAAGCCCTAAAGAGTTCAAGAAAGATGTTAAAATCTGTCTTGCTGGCTGTGAAAAACTAATTGCATAGCATAGGTGATGATCCCAGTCTCCCAGGAGAAGGAATAAAACTGCTTCAGGCAAAAGCTCTGCTGTTATTTGTCTGAGGGTTGGAGTTGGCAGTGTCTGTGGAAAAAAGTTTCATTGCTTGCCCTCCTTGCTGGTTAACAAATGCAGAGACAGGAACACAGATAGGTGAGTGTTTGTGTGTTGGTATCTGAAAACCTCATTCACCTTATGAGAAAAATGCTGGTTTTGTCCTCTTCTCCCTTTTTTCTCCCCATGCCCCCCCTGTTAAGAGCACAGGGAGTGCTCAAAAGCCAGAGACAGAGGTTTCAGGCTCACTCTTGCTGTCATGTGAAGGAAGCCCATGGCCTGAGTTATTTAATGCCTGTGTGATAACAGCAATTCTGTTTGCAAAATGGATGTACAATTCCCCTCCCAAAGCAAATAGTTTGGGGAGGATTAAGATTAGTAAAGCACTGTGAAGACTGAAATTGCCACTGAATCCTGAGGATTAAAGGTTGCATTTGACTGGTGAAGTGGAAGAGCCTAATAGTTGCATTTATCAGGATGAAAATAGTTCACTTTAAATCCAGTGGCCATGCCTGACTGGCTTCCAGGCTGTGGAAGTCACTGAGGGCACTCAGTGCTGGGAAAGAGCTGAGGGACACACAAAACTAATGTAATGCTCAGATTTCACTGCATAAATTCAGATTGTGAAGGGGATTTACATCAGGGACTTTAATTCCTGATTTTTGGAATAGCTTACTGTAGGGCAGGGTTCATTCAGCATAATCCTAAATACTATAAGCATTGCTGAGGTAGTATTTGACAGTGATCATATTTTTATGTAAATTCAACACCTGAAAAATCTAAGTGTAAAAATATCTGTCATAAACTGGTGTGTTGAACCTAAATTGAAATAAGGAGATTGTGAAGGAAAAAAAACCCAAACTGCAAGGGTTTCTTGTGATACTTCCAGACCAAAATGACCACAGCTTTGCTGTACTCATCCTCCTTGGATGCAGAGGTGGAGCCCTGTGTGCATCCACGTGTTCTGCCCTTGGCTTTGGGTCTCACAAGCATCCACGCTGCACACACAGGATTTGTACTGGACTTAGTCCAGCCTCAGTGATGTCCATCTTCTGAACCTTTCCAGTGTTTGGCATCTCTCCTTTGAGAATTACCTCTCTGAGGTGATGGTGGTTTTCAGGGAGAAAGCTCCAGTGCCCTGACTTTGGTGAGAAACAGCAGAGGACAGAAAACATGACCTTTTTTCACATCATTCTGTTGATACCCCCTGGGCTTTCCCTCACCTCCTCCTCTCCCCCATCATTTGCTTGTGTGTGGCTTTAGCAGAAACAGGAATCTTACCCAAGTCTTGCAAACCATTGTTTCTTTATGTTAAATACAAGGTTCTTTTATTGACTCCAGCTGCTGCACCTCCCTGTGCTCACTGTGTTTGCTTTATTAAAATTGAACAGCGTGCAAGTAGGACATTGTAAATCACAAGTGACTGGGCCAGAGGAAGAGGGAGGGAGAGGGAGGGACTCTGACTGTATGACAACAAAGAGAGCACATGAACAGGCTGGGCCTCCTGGCTAATAGCAGCCAAAACTCAGGAGTACAATTTGCAATTGCTCCCAGGAGGACAGGCAAGGGCCAGACAGTTAGCAGGGATAGATGGGAGTGAAACTGGAATACCTGGTGTGTTCTCTCCAGAACAGAGCTTCTCAGAGCTCTGGGCACACAGGGGCTGCCAGCCTCTGCTGCAATCCTGGGATTTATCTGATGTCAGTGCCTGGCTGTGGTCATCCTGTCTGTGGAGGAAGCCTTGTTAGACCATCCAAGTCTTGGAGAGGGCTTTTAAACAAGAACCACCGGGTCCCTCACAGAGAGGGAGGTGGAAGCTGCTGGTACACATTTTTCAGCTTTGCCTCTTCATGACTTTTGTGGGGGAATTGCATTTTTACCTGCTTGAACCCCACGGGCATCCACAGAGGACAGTCAGAGTAGGTGAACTCAGGGCAGAAAGACAAGAAGTTCCTTCTCTGAGCCAGGTGAGTTCGTCTGCTCACTGAAGGTGCAAAACCATCACAGCAGCCACACGGAGTGTCCCTGGCTGCCACGGTGAGCCAGCTGTGAGCCCTCAGCAGCACGGCGGCTGCACCCCGTGCCCTGGCAGTGACTTGTGCTGTGCTGTGGCACGCAGGCTCAGTGTGCTCTCTCCTGCAGTGCTCCTCGACGTGCGGCAAGGGGCTGCAGTCTCGCGTGGTGCAGTGCATGCACAAAGTGACCGGGCGCCACGGCAGCGAGTGCCCCGCGCTGGCCAAGCCCGCGGCCTACAGGCAGTGCCACCAGGAGGTCTGCAACGACAGGATCAACGTCAACACCATCACCTCGCCCAGGCTCGGTGAGTCAGGGGCTGGGGGGAAGTGCCAGCTGCCCAGGGGGCTGCAGGGATTGTCCGGGGACAGAAATCGGGAGAGGCTCGGCCAGAGTCCAGCCTGAAGGTCTGGTGTGGGTAGGTCCTGTAGAGCCCTGCCTCAGGCTGTGCCCAGTGGAGTGCTTGGCATGGCAGAGGATGGAGCTGAGAGAGCAGCAGGAGCACACAAATGGTGGGTGATTGATTGACTGACTGATTGATTGATCAATCACAGGTGAGGGAGCTGGCAGGTGCATCTTTCTCCATCACAAACCCTTCCACATGCTGCCATTGAGTGTGAAGTGGGATCATTTATTCATTGTGTCCCAAGAAAATACATGACCCTGACAGGTGGTTTGATGGATTGATTTGCCCAGAGGGGCAAGAGAGCATCCAGCCTCTTCCTGACCCTGTGATTTCCTGTCACTGTCCTTCTCCTCACCCTCCCTGCATTCCTCGTGTCCCTGGCTGGGATGGGAATGTGGTGATAACCATCTGTCTCCTGAAACACCTAACACTGTACTTGAGACATGCCACTAGTTAAGAATGCCTCTGTTAATACAAATTTGTGAGGGTCTCATGATTTTTCACATTAGTTTATAAGGGGAAAAAAGTATAAATATACTAAATATATATTTTTCTGAACTTCAGCCCTGTGTGTTCCACCACAGCTCCAAGAACCAAGTTGGTTTCTTTACATTTCACACATCATCACCAGTAAGATGAAGTTAAATTAATGCATCAGCTACACTGATCCAGCCTCATGGGTGCCTCCTGTCCCTTTTGGTAAAGAGGCTGGGTTGTAAACAAGAGGTTATCAGAAAGAGCAGCCTTCTCTGTCACATCTGAGCTGATCTTAAAGCTGATCTTACAGGCTAAGAAACCTCTAACACACATGAAAACACAGAGCTGCTAAATAATAAAGAACCATTTTCTAATAATGGTCTCCATTATTAAATAACACTTAAACTGGGGCTGGAGTTGAAGCTTCTGAAATGAAATTTGTTCCCCAAAAGTTTACCAGATGTTTTAAGAGAAAATGGGGACTTTCATTTTTGTAAATGCACTCATGCTGAGGGGTTTCCATCCTCTTTTGGTATGAGAGTACTTCCCAGATATTTTAGCACTAAGAGCATAGTGGAAGGAGAACATTTCATTTGAGATGTAAGCCCGTGATACACTGATGAGACAAGAAATCCATCCTAATTCATGTTAGAGGACAAAGCAATAAAATGCTCATGTGTTTAGAAGACTGAGGAGGCTCAAGTCCCTGCTGAAAATAATCTGCAAGCAATTTGGGATGCTTTTGTTTCTAAACCAGGCTTGGAATCACCAGGGCCAGAAACAATGATATTTGATATTAGTGGAAAGACATATCATTGAGTGTTTTGCTCTTTTTGCTTATAAACAATTCTAATTGGATTATCTTTAAACAGAATTTTCTATTTTCTGCAATGGAAGAGAAAACATCAGAAAAAAAACCCCAGTAGTCTACAGACCCCATCCTGCGTTGTCCCTACTTCAGAATGGCTTTTTGTCTTGGATAACATTTCCAAAAGTATCTAAGTGTGGAGTCCACCTCACCTGGCTTTTATATCTGTGTCCAGTGTCTCTCATTGATGACACATTCAGAGGGATTTATCCTGTCACTTCTTTCCTGTCTTCCCTCACAACCTGTGAGGGACCTTGGACCTCTGAAATATTAGTCCTGGCCTTGTTTGTGGCTTTGTTTCCTTTATGTGAACTCTCCCATCTCACATTATAAGGTCTGCCTCAGGTGTTCTTGCCAGGTGTGTGATTTATCCATCTCCATCCCATTGATTGCAGTGTGGAGTTCATGGCCTTAAATCTGGGCTGAACCTTTGGATGTTTTGTTCATCCAGGCCTGTTTGCCTCTGAGACAAAACAGGTGCAGCAGGGGAGGTTTGCACTCCCCATTCCTGTCCAGGGAAGGAAGGGAGCACTTCCAAGAGCCCGATATTTTGGCAGAGAGAACCTCACCTGCTCTCCAGTGCCGGCAGCGAGCGTGGCCCTCCCTCCCCTCGTGTGCAGGGCTTTTGGTCACACCTGCAGTGCTGTTCCCTGGCTAATCTGGCAGTTTCTCCTTTCTTGTCTCCTCCCAAGCTGCCCTCACCTACAAGTGCACGGGGGACCAGTGGACAGTGTACTGCAGGGTGATCCGTGAGAAGAACCTGTGCCAGGACATGCGGTGGTACCAGCGCTGCTGCCAGACCTGCAGAGACTTTTATGCAAACAAGATGCAGCAGAAGAGTTAATGAACCTTGCCACTCCTTAGAGTCTTCCAGCTGTTTGTATGGAAATCACAGACTAGTAGGTCTGAGTACTGGAACTTCATGAGTTGCTACAGCGTGGTGGATCCCAAAGCACACCTAATGAGACTTGAAACTAATCCTACAGACTGGATACCAAAGTCATCTGTTCATCCACCTTAAAAAAAACACACAGAAAGGGTCATCTCAAGGAGCCAATCATTTCTGAATATTGTGACATCCTCACATTTTTTGTTAATGCTTTTTTAATATATTAAATCACCAGCCACTGGATGGCTTGCTACCATTAAAGAAAAGGACAAGAGTTGCAAAGTGATTACATTGGATAAGGTTATGGGTACCTCCATGGAGGAAGGCCTCTGGCAAAATAATTCAGCAAAGGTAGAGACATTACTTAATCTTTTAATCTTGGCTTTTATCTGTTGTTCTCCATTCCCATCAGTTATCCCACTGCAGAGTGGGCTTGGAGGGACATGCATCAATGAAAGGCTTAGTTTAAAGAGAGGATTTTCTGTAAAAGCTTGTGAAAACTGATAGCAGAGGATGGACATCTCTGAATTTCCTACAGAATACTCAGCATAATTATATCCAACATTCCAAGTTGTATTTTCAGAGCCACTAATAGGGAGTGCTTTTCCTTCTAATTTTAAAAAAACAATCCTCTCTATCTTTTCCCCAAAATAATAGAGTTTCTTTTATGAAACCTAATTTTTCTCTAAGCTTAATGAAATGGAAGCTTATTAACAGCTGTAGATAGTTACTTTTAAACAAGAACCATTTACATGAGATGGGAGAAGCCAGAAATCATTTCATCCAGTAGAGCTCACTGAGGGATTGCTTGGCCTAAGCTCTCTCCAATTTTTAGAAGTCAATCAGATAATGAGACTGTTGGTTCTTTTAAGAGGACTGTGAAACTGGATAGGGTTGGAACAGAAACTGAATTTGGAACAATCTTTATGAAAAGGATGTAGTGGGGAGCAGAACAGGTGTTTTCTATCTCTGGGCTCTTTTACACAGCTGAGCTTTTGTAGCTTTTGGAGTAACCAGAAGTAGCCAGGGATGCAAGACATTCAGAGTATAACCTGGAGCTTGTGGGAAGCCAAGGGCTCAGGCTTCCTTTGCTGTCTTTGAGTGCTCCCTGTGTCACTTCTGTGGTGCTGTCAGGTTTGGTGCTATAGGTTTGGTGCTGTCAGAGCACTTACAGGTGCTGCCCACACAATACTCTCTGCCATGTCTCTGCACTTTAAACCAGACTCCTCTCTGTGATGTGAGACTTGAAACAGGAGCTCTGCCCAGGGCAGGGCTTGTCCCCTCCCTTGTCACACACATCAGTGTTTCCCTGTCACATCTTGCTCCAGCAAGCATCATTCCCTTGCCAGGGCCCAAGGCCATGGCTGAGTTTCAGCCTCCTCCTGGTGACAGGAACAGAGTCCTTTGGATAATTGCAGCTTTGTGCTCGCTCTGGAGCTGCGTGGGACTGTTTGACTCCTTGGAGCTGAGCACAGAGCCAAGCCCAGCTGCTCCCCAGCCCCTGGGCCAGGCTGGCTTGCAGCTCTCACCTGGCCCCAGGTTGTCTTTGTTGCTGTTGTCTCTTTTTGTCAATGCAAGGAAGGATAGAGATTCTGAGTACCTAACATGTCTTTAAAGCAATTTTTGCTTAGTACTGTTCTTTCCATATCCAGGACCTCACTGGAATAAGCTATTAGCATTTTATTAAGGGCTAAATATTTCAAGCACAGGGAGATAACGTTCATCAACAGACTAACCCTGTGTGGGCTTCACATTTGCATTGTGCTTGTGAGTGCAAATGAGTGTGTGTGCACCAGGGCTGGCCTGATGCACAAGGGCACATTTGCACACCTTTCTTCCTCAAGTGCCTGTCTCAAACAGATCTGCTTTCCAATGCCTCAGATGATTTTCTCTATCAGGGAAATGATTCCAGCTTGGTTTTTGTTATACTGGATTTTTTTTAAAATTTTTTTTTTGGCAATTTATAATCAGGATTAGATCTCCTTTTTCTGTTATTCCCACCCTGTTGCCCAGCTCAGAGGTTATATAAGTACTTAGCAAGTAATCAAGGGAAAATTGCTGGCAGGGGTGACAGGGAAGATTTAGACAATACCAGGTGATACTCAAATTAACAGATAGAAGAACTGCTAGTAAGAAAGTTCCAGGAGATCAGACAGAGCCCAGAGGACCTGGTTTATGTTCTTAATCCACAGTGGTGTTTCCCCCTTAGCCTGCAGTGGCACTGGGACAGTCCTTGCTGCCTCCCTGCCCCCAGAGCCACCCCTGAGTCCCCTGACACCCCTCACTCCTTTTTTAATTTGCTGGTTTTCTTCTCATGGGCAACATTTTCTCTGTTACCTTGGCAGAACTGTGTGAATTATCACTGCTGGGAATCAAAGGTGCTTCTCCACAGCAGGAACGTTTTCCTTCTGGTGCTGATCTGTGACCCTCTCTAGGCAAAAGGTAGGACATAGGAGAGGAAGGCTTTTAGGGTTTGTGTTTTTCAGCAATAATTCACTGCTGGCCACTGGCCAGAACAGGGTGCTAGGCTGGTTAGACCTCTGGCCCAGCCTGCTGGGTTCTGGACCCAAAGGACACTTGGGTGCAAGTTCTGAGTCCTACCTAAGGAAACAGGAATTTACAAGGATTTTTTTTCAACTGTATGAGCACTGAGAAAAAAACACCTCACTTGCTCTCACAGCTCACAGATTAGCATGCATCAACCTTTTATTTTTTATAATCAAACCCCCCAACATTATTAAGAACTGATGGCACAACACAGCTCCATTTTATTCAATTCTCTTACTTCACATGGTGACAACCATCCCATCACATAGCAGCCAGAAAAATAATAACAAAAAAATCTAATTCCGTTCAATATTCCTGCACTTCTGGTTTTTATCAGTTTATAGGAGCTTTACAATGAAGTCACAGCTATGCTCTGCCCTCAGTTCCCACATTCTGGTGAAAAGAAAAGAAACTGTTTGTTTCAGTGTATCTACAACAATACTTTTCTTAGTTGCTCATAAGAGATTGATGCTCTTTTGATTACAGTGGTGGTATTTCCATATTGTAAACAATACTCTGTACTGTTACTAAAGTACTGTACATTTCTAGTTGCACAATTGTGTTATTGAGTGTAGATTCTCACTATCTCATGTATGGTGCTATTTTTTTGTTGGTGGAAAAGAATCTTAGCAGTTGATTATTGCTTGATATTTTATTATAATACAGGGATATATTCTCCATGGCAATAATATCATTTAAGTTTTCTCATTACAGAGTGAAATGTATATATTTTTCCATTAGCTAATTTGCATATGTACTGTATCCATGGTAATTTTCTTCTTGGTGCTGGTTATAAATAGAAAAAGATAAAAAAACAGTCAATCTGAATGGAACCAGTTGTAAATGAAAGCCAAAAAAAGAAAAAAGAGAAAAGGATCATTCCATTTTGAACAAATTGAATATGTTGAATAATAAATTTATTTTTTCCATAACAACTTTAATAAGGTTTTTGAACTTGAAGCAAAAATACAAAGCAAACCCAGGCATGAAAATGAAGAGAAAGGAGTGAAGCTGTAAGTGGTACATTATGCATCTGTGTAATACTGGACTGAGACTGGGATTTGGATAAATCCAAGCCAACTGTTTAATTACTGTGGTTGGTGTAAAAGGTCATTTGTCAGTAAAATTCTGGCACCTCAGAGTTCTCAGTGTGCTAAAAACCAAGAAATGATGGGTCTTGTCCTGGTCAGGTTGCAAAATAAAGCGTGGGGATGTTAACACCTGAATGATGCCTTGCCAGGTCTGTGGTCAGTGACACAAGAGTAGAAAATTCCTGTCTGGGAAGAGCGTGCCAGGCTGTGTTTGGGATGCCTCTGTGTGTGCCTGGGGGGAGCTTCTGCCTGGAGAGAGGGATGTTCTGAGAGTGCTTTTGGGGAAGGTTGTTCTTGCTGTGCCCAAGCTGGGAGGGAGCAGCAGCTCCACAGGCACCCCCTGACAATGAACAGTGCTGAGCATGTGGAAATTTGTACTGGAGCAAACTGGTCCCATCCATTGGGAAGGTATCTGCATAACCTGGCTGCACTCTCCCCTGGTGTGAAATAAACAGAATTGCTTCAGTGCCATGTGGTTTGGATGTCTTTGTTGTAGGCACTGGCTAGGATCTTTGTTCTGTTAGCTCCCCCCAGCATGGTGAAGGTTGTTGGTGCAGTCAGATACACCTGTAGGATCCTCTCCCAGCCTGTCTTACAAAGATGCCATCATCTGTATCCCACTCCAGCTCAATTCTTGTTAAAAGGGCACTTGGAGGTGGGAGCAGCCTTAAAAACCCAGGAACATGATGGAGTGGTGGACTTGGCAGTGCTGGGTTGGACTCAATGATCTTACAGGTCTTTTCCCACCCAAAGGATTGTCTGATTTTACAACAAACCAAAGCAGAGTTGGTGTGAGAGCCCTCCTCCCACAGTGATTTCCAGAAATGGAGTTTATACTTGAATAACAGAGCTCATTTCCTGATCTCACACAGGATTCATGGCACACTGCTGGGCTTCTGAGGCAGCCTGGGGAGATCCAAGCCAGCTGCCCCCCTGCACAGGCCACTCACAGCAGCAGCACTGCAGAGCCTCCATCCAAGTGGTGCTGTGCATTAACACATCATCGTGTTTGTGCCTTGCCTGCAGTCAACATCTGATTGCAATTGTTGACCTGTTTGAACAATAAAATGTAGCTCTGAGCCTGGGGAAGCCAAAGGGCTTTGCATTAAGCTGGGCTATGGCAGTGGATGGGAGGGGTGTAATGAGTGCTGTCATACATTTGGCTTGAAATGTTCCTGGTATGTGCCAATATCTCTCCTATAAATCCAGTAGGATTATATACTTACTTTGCCTATTTTGCATGTGGCCATTTGCTGTTTCTCTAATTCCTAATCCCCATTTCTGCCCAAGCCGTTGCCCTTCCCTGTGAGCTCAGTTGTTTTTTATTTAAGACACCTCAGCCAGGGTCACTAAAGGCAGGTGGGGTCAGATGGCTCTGGGGCTCTGGCACAGAAGGATCAGGAGGAAAGTAAAATCACTCCTCTCCTCTTTGGAGGTCACTTCTGCCTCCACCAACTCCACCTGCTCCCTTCACTCTCCTGGTGTCCACGGCAGCCTCAGCTGTCCCTTGCAGCAAGCTGGCAGCACCCTGCTTGCTGTGGAAGGAATTTGCCTTCCAAAATGTGGAACACTTTATCCCCACATCAGCTCTCCAAGTACCACTGCTGAGGACTCTGCTCTCTGGCAGAGTGAAAACCAAATCTTGTTTTGTGCTTTCCCCAACACCACATGGAGCTTTTCCATGGGGAAAGGGATGTTTCCTTCTTGCTGGAGAGTGTCAGTGCAAACACCAGTGTGCTGTGGAGCTCCAGGCAGAGAAGATCCGTGCCAGATGAGCTCCCATTCCATGCACTCACACTTCTGATGGTGTCAGGAAGAATGGCATGGGATGCTGCTCTTCATGTGGCCTGGAATGGAGGAAAACATTCATTTTTCTCCAGGAGAGCACAGGCAGCTCACCAGTCTGCAGGGCTGCCTCCACCACCCCACAAACCACCA